GGCCAGGGATGTAGCTCAGTGGCGCCATGCCTGGCTGGCAAGTGCAAAGTCCTGAGTTTGATTCCTGGTATGTGGAAAAAAAAGGATTAGGAGATAGAGTATTAGCAACTGAGAGATTGGCAGAAAAGGTGCCGGGTTCCTCTCTCGCCATTGCCCGGGTCTCAGAATGAGGCGGTGACAAAGATGGGACACAGCCTCTTCTGAAGCCTTCCGTGCTCCCTTTGTGAAGTTCATTGGAGATGAAAAGGTTGCACCAAGGCTTCAACAACTCACTGCTGAGGCTCCAGAGCTCCTGCTGCCTCTGTATGCAACCTTGATCAGGGCCAAACTCACCCTTCATGTCAGTCACTGCTGAAAATCACTTCCCTAAGGGTCCACAGAAAGCGACACCTCCATCCCAGACCAGACCCAAGACGCCCCAGCTGGAGCTGGGTGCCCGCTCACCCTTTCTCTGTGGTAGCCCTTTCTCTCTGACCTTTAGGTAACACCCATGCCCCAGTGGAGTTAGGTTATCGGTTGTCTTACAGTTACCTGAAAAACAAATTCTATTTCACTACTTTTCTGTGTGATTCTTGGCACAAGAGAAAACAAATCACAACTTGTGAATTTCAAAGTCTAAGCATAAGTACACAACATTCTTGTCGTTGGAGAGAGAGCATTCAAACCTTTAACTTTTTCCAAACTCTGCAAGACAGGCCCTAGAGCAAAGAATGCAGCCTGCTGTGCACTAGGAAGGACAAAGGGAAGGTGAGATGTATTGCAGCTAAACTCCATCTGTCTTCACTCCCAGATTTTCCTGCTCAAAACTGAAAAGCACAGCCCTCAAAACAGAGGAGAAGGACAGAACAATTAGCATAGTCGAGCCCTGAATGAGCAAATATTTTAAGAGGCAGCACCTACTGAAGAGCAACATCCCTGTTTCCCTGGTTGAATTCAGATGTGGATTTGCATCAGTATGGATACAATTCAGAGCTACAACCACGAACAAGGCCACTTCCCCAAGTACTCACTAATATTAGCAATAGCAGAAATTTACCTCCGAACCCCAGGAGAGACTTGGAGCAGAGATAGAGACAGGTGAGGGAGGGCATGCTGCAGTGCAGCAATGTCGCCTCCTGGCTACCGTAGTGTCCGCCTGCTCCGGCTCCTCCGGCTCGAACTGAATGCTGAAAACCAAGCAAAGCGAGCACTAACCACGCAGCGTTTCAGCGTGCCCTTCAGCTCCTCCACCATCTCTCCGGGTGCCAGTGGGGCTGCTCCGCATGACTGTGCAGCCGTCTCCAGAGGGCTAGGGAAGGCAACTCCCGAACAGAGGGGCAGACGCCCAGCTGCTGCAGGGCTCCCCCAGAACCCTGGCTTCCACGCAGCAGCACACACACATTTGCTTGGCTCTGAACTTCCAGTGTCCTTAGGTATATTTTAAAAATCCTCATAGTCATATCAGTAGACACATCACACACAGACAGAGAATAATTCCACTCCTTTCTTCCTCTCCCCTCCCTTTTGCCAAGGACCCCACTGAATAACTCCCTTTTCCTCTCTTTCCTTATATTTCCCCAAAGGAATCTGAGTTCTTTAACTTGCTCTAATCCCTGCAGTCCAACAGTCCTGGCAGGACTCCACTGGCCATACTGGTAAGCAATGGGACACATGTCCAACGAAACAGTCTATGGACAGGTGCAGGCCGAGCAGGGGAGGAGAGCTCCTCCTTTCGATGGTTATGCCAAGTGGCAGTCCTCACAATGCCACGTGGAAGCATTCATGTCATCCCAAAGCAGCCCTGTGGACATTATGTTATCATCCTCATTTTTCTACAGATGCAGAAATGAGCTCAAGATGACCTGATAACTTGCCCATGTCTGCAACAAATCAATAAGAAAATCACAAACAACTCAGCAGAAAAAGGATCAAAAGAGAGGAAGACACCTGATGGTGGAGAACATATGTAATCCCCATAAGTGTGCAAAAGAGTGCTCAGCATCATCTGTGGTCAGAGAATGTAAATTAAACCCCACCAGGGCTGAGGACATCATGAAATATAATATAAAATTACACAATGTAATGCAATATAAAGTTGCACTCATTCAATCAGAGAAAAATGAAAAAGCCTACTGATTCCAAGTGTTGGAAGAAACGCTGATCCACACTCCAAGGAAAGTGAAAATTAGAGGTAACCCAATAGTTTGGTTCTCTGTCCTACAGTTGAACATTCACACCTCCATGGCCCAGCAAGTCTACTAGATCCAAGAGAAAATCTTGTGGGTGTGCATGCAGGGCTACAGTCAATGATGCTGGCCAAATGGGTAGATGAATGTTACCGTCCAAACCCTAGCTTTTGTTCTGTTTCATAGGTGCTTACTAAACTATTCAAAATGTCTAATTATTAATGAAATAAAAATAGAGAGGAAACACTACTAAAAGTATGTCATTAATTAAAGGTCATTGGTAACCCAATTTTTCATATCTGGGGGCCTAAAAGCACCCAAAGAAGCAAGAATGAAACAAAAAATAAACAGAAATCTGGCATGGACTATACAAAGACGCACTCTGGGCCCCGAGCCCTGGCTGACCACTGTGCCCTTCTCACCTAGGGACACGAGCAGCACACCATGCTTCTGTCCACTCCTTACATAAGCCCAACCTCTGGGTCAGAGCTGGAACTAATGGACTTACCTTCCCCGTCAGGATAGAAAGGCAGGAAAGATGTCGGTGCTCTAACAGCTACTGCTGGACAAGAGTATCCTGCCCTACTGTGAACTACTAGGCCACTCGAGGGGCTTTCCTGTCCCGGCCGCAGGTCCCATGGCTGAGAGCCCTAGAGCTGGGGCTGAGGCTGATGGAGGACATGATGACCAGCATTTCCAGGGGCTTCCAAGCCAAAGATTTACCAGCATTTCAATACGACCTTTACTGCGACCCAGGAGGCATTAGTTATTGTGGTTCCCAATGAAAGAGAAAGTAATCGAATATGGCAGGGGTGCCACATGCCTGGGATTCCAGCCTCCCTGAGAGGAGGCAGGAGGATTGTGAGTTTGAGGCCAGCCTGGGCAACTTAGTGAGACCCTGTCTCCAAAATACCTAAGTGTAAATGAAGACAAGAGGGCTGAAGCAAAACGCTTTAAGAAATTTCCCCATGGTCATAAAATTATGATGAAAAGCGGAAGATCCTTGGGCCTGGGTCAGGCCTGCTCCATCGCTCATGCCCTTAACATGTAAGATACACACACACGTGTAGATACACACGGCACACAAGGATGGGTACACACATACACTCATAGGCACAGACAAAATGTGCAGGTAAAACTCCTACATGTGTGTGTAGAGACATACGCATGTGTAGACATTCGTATGCAGATATGCATTCACACGTATGTCTAGACTAGACATAACAGGCACAGATGCACACTCATGCACGCACAGATGCACACTCATGTGGACACATCCATACACGTACATATGGACACACAGATATAACTACATGTTTATATAGACATGTACATATTGTATAGATGTGTAGTCACACACGAACACACACTCATGCACATATATAGCCACTCACTTGCACATGTATAGCACCAGGTACAACTCACAATCATACAGACATGTATAGATACACACATGCATAGGTATTGATGTCTATTCACACACATGTACATACAGAACATGCCCAGACAGATGTATAAACATACACGTACATATGCACACACTCTGCACACACTCATGTATACATGCTCGCGCACACGTGAGTGTAGATAAGCACACAGAACACTAGCTTTCCCAGCGTTGCTCAGGAGATTCATTAATTAATTAGGTGTGTGGGGGCACACACCTGTAATCCCAGGTACTTGGGAGGCTCAGGCAGGAGGATCTAAGGGACTAAGGCTAAGGGGGTGTAGCTCAATGGTAAAGTGCTTACCTAGCATACACAAGGGCCTGGGTTCAATTCCCAGTACTGCCCCAAACAAGCAAACAAACAAAAAAAGAAACAAAGAAAAGAAAGAATTGCTACCTGTCATTAAAGCTTCCCGTGCCTTTCCCTCCAGTAGGTATAACCCAGAGCTCTCCATGCCAGAAGCAGTGGACCTTAAGGGGAGTTCGAGTCTCCCGGAGCGCCATCCTGTCCCCACCTTCACTCTGGGACGCTGACTTTGCCTGCTTCGCCGTGACAGCACCTCGCTGGCTTGTTCCGCCATGTCAGGGCCAGCAGGAGTCTCTGGTGCCCCTCAGCTCCTGCTCTGCAGGAGGGAGAGGGCCATGTCTGTAAGCGGCTGCAAAAAGTAAATTTGGAGGAAGCTACTCAGCTGTTATTTGAAATCAGGTCTCTCTATTTGTGTGTTGCAGCCTGGCATGTAACCAGTGTTTAACAAATGGTAGCAACTACCATGAAAGTAACAACACAACTCTAATTGTTACTTGATGGAGCATCTAGTTTTGCTCCATTTGGCTTTTATTATCTTAGGTTTTAAGCTTTTAAACTTGGGAGGTTTGCCCTTACAGTGTCTAAATATGAAGATGTCCAGTGAGTAGGAATTCACTTACAAGAGCATTCTCTCAAATTGAACTGTAAGAGGCTAGGAATGCTGAGAATAACGAAAGGATAAATATTTTCTGTTGACATCAATAAATAACCGAGATGGGTAAGAGTTGGAAATGGGACACAGAAATGGAAACAAACCAACCAACCAACAAACCCCAAGCCCTCCAAGCGCTGAATATGAAAACGTGTAAAAACCCAATATAATGAATGCGGGTGGGAGCCACGGGTGGGAGCCAAAGTGCCTGGGATGACCCGGCCTGCCACTGCCGCCCTGCATGCACCCAAGTGCATCAAACTGCACTTGGGTCTTCAAAGCACACAAATATAATCTTTTACAGATTGAGATGCTGCAGTTTAACCTATAACTTCCACGTAAAATGTGGCAAAGTAAAAGAAAGTAAAGATTTGGAATGTCCAGTTTCATATCAGACTAGAACAGTTTGTTTTCTTTATATCTTCACAGAAATCTTCCGGAGGTTGGAATCCCAAGGCTGTGGTTCACGGCCACTCACTGGTGCCCTGACCCATGAAGGAAATGAGACAGAGAGGCAGCCATGAGGTACTGGCCAGGAGAAAGGAGGGACGGGAGGACAGGCGGAAACCACCCCCCAAAAGTCACCCCAAACAGGAGGGAAAGGGTCAAGGCATGGACCCTCATGGGGAGGACCAAATTCATGGCAGTGGCCAGGAGGCTGGACATGGAGCTGCGATTTAAATGTTTATTTTCAGGGAGACTCGAACCACATCTGGAGCCTCGGTTTAACTTCGGCCAACATTCAACAGCTGTTTCCTTTTTCAGTGCTCAACAGTGCACATTTAAGGACATTTTAAAACTAATGTTTTCTAACTGCTACAAATGTAACTCGGTATTTTTTTAAACAAGGGCCCAAATGATTTCAATCCAGAGGATGTAGATCCTACAAGGAAGCAAAGAAACAAGCCGCTTTTAGCAGTTGCAGAAATGGAACCCCAGAGGGGTAAGTGACTTATTGATTCTGCACAAATAGTTCATGGCTGAACTGGAAGTAAGACCTCAGAGGCAATTTTCACTTTAAATATTTTAACTTCTTATGAAAATTTAAATGTCCCACAGGCTTTAAAAGCGTGAGTCATGAAAGAATAAGTGCGAAGTTCGAACATTTCCCGGAGATCCCTGAGGGACAAGGGACTTGGCCCGGGTCTCCAGAGGGGAAGGAAGGTACCAGGAAGGAGCCACTTGCTGCCAGACCAGGAGCTGGTGCAGACATCTGGGCTGGGCGCCACTGCAGCAGCGACAGAACCTGCCGGGACCCAGGGCCACCAAAGGGGCACACGGGGACAGCCTTGCTGCTGCAGAGAAAGGCTGCTACACGGAGACGGGGAGCCAGGCAGGATCCTGGGGTTCCTGGCTCCAGGGAGAGAGGTGGGTCTGGTGAGCAATCATCTGTGACTGTTTTTAGCATACTGCAGCCATTCCTCATTTAATAACCGAGTTCCCTTCCTGCGACTGGGTGGTTAAGAGAACAGCTTCTAAATGAAGAATTGTATAGCATAGGAACACTACAATACTCAGAACAAAGGAATGGTCAAAGGAAACTCCAACTTGATGACTTCGCTTTTATTTCTGTAACTCTTACATCCAGCACTGTAATGCACAACAACAAAAAGTACAGCACTGCCCTGCATAGTAAGGCCAGCAAAAATTACAGTACTGTATAAACAAGGCGTACTGTACAAAAAGACACTGAGGCTCTATTAGCAAGGTATACAGAACTGTACCCCCAAAAAGGTCATAAATCCAAACAACGCACCTCCATCATAAATCTGAGTAGTCGTTCAACAGGTAGGTCGTCAAATGAGGAATAGGAGTATTTGTATTTTAAGCTCCCAGGTGAGGTGGCTGAGACCCATAGGCCACACAGCCGTGCAGGACACTGACAGTATACTACGTGGCAGACAGTGACTGAGCAAGGCCCTCAGCCTCGGACAGCTGCCCTAAACTAAAGGACAGGACAGCTCCTCAGGTCTAAGATGCTGTGTGCTTGCTCTGCCTGATTTGTAACATACGTGTAGGAGAGGAAACTCATGAAACTGGTCATCATTTTAATCCATGTCTGCTGGACTCTGGAGCAGACACATGGGGTGGGGGATCCTAAATGTCCCCCCAGACCTATTCACCCAAATCAGGAGTAAATCACTAGAGAAGCACAACTCAAAATCAGCAAGCTGTTTTCCTTCCTTTTTGTTTGCAGAAACTCATCTGGATTTAGCTGACCACAGGGGAAAAGTTTACTTCCAGAAAATACGTCAGAACCGACTCTTTATTTCCGCATTTCTAACATGGACTAGTCTCCAAATATTTCTACACGCCTCAAGTGGGATGTGAAACCGATTCATAGTTTTCATGTGATAATGATTTTCCCCTAAAACAAACATTAAATTGATGAGCTAATCAGGAAGCATCTTAGAATTGAGGAGCTATACCATGTTTTTCAGGTGGTAAATACCTTGGAAACTTACAGTGGAGCCATTTTAAGAGAGGAAGTTCTAGAAAATGCCTCTCATGTGACCCAACACGGCTGTGACATGGACCATAGAGAGACCATGCCCTGCCTACAATGCCAGGAGAAATGAGGGCACCGGAGAAAACAGCTGCCAACTGGACCTTTCCTAAACTCAGTCCTGAAGGACCGGCCAGGGTCTGTCTACGGCAGATGCAAAATTCCTTGCAAATCTTTGCTGCAATAAGGTGTATGCTGTACAAGCTGGCTTATGATCTCACAGCACTGCGCATGTGGCGAGAGGTGTCCTTTGTTGTTTGCACGGTATTGAGTTTTACACTAGCAGATCATTTCATTTTTATTGGTGCAAAAGCAAGGTTTAACATAAATTCTTGGATCACTTATAGTTTCACAAAGCTACTTAATTCCCTGATCATCTTTCTCTCATCTGTAAGGAGAAATGAATAGCTGTAATAGTGATATAAGGATCATTACCTATCAACAAAGATTATTCCAGAATTCTTTCTGGAATCAAATGAGCTATGAAGAAAAGAACAAACCAAAAGATAAAAAGATCATGGTATTCAATAAATGGTAGTTTGTTCTCCATGGTATTTTATACTTCTTTCTATTGCAAAGGGGGAGAATTTTACCGCTGCAATCAACAAATATATGAAAAGAACTTACCACCATCAATGGTGACACATCCCAATGTAGCTAATTATTTCACCTGATTCAGAGTGAGACTCTGTCGCAAATTAAAACCAAAGGCATATAATTTCAGAGGAAAGACTGCCCTGAATGACAAGAAGGAATATAATGTAAGTACAGCAGAAGACCATGACTCAGAAGTCGCCCGGTGGGACTGAGTAGCTCGCACTGTACGAGTCTGTGCTCCCCTTACGGACAGGAGATACAATTAATTCCCCACGAGTGAAGATAAAGATCGTTCTATCCCTTCAGGAATTGTCTGATACTTTTCAAGAAAGAACACTCAAATTGAAATGTAGAGGGGAAAAAGGGCAAATAAATAAGCACGCCTAGCTTCAGGGAACATTGTAGCTTTTGTTCTTCTTGAGTTCTTCGTTTTGCGAGGTTGGAGTCTTCTGCGGTTGAAAGTTACAAGAAGGGGCTGCTGTTTCAGCTGTGCTCCCACCAAGGCCCATGTGGGACATCTTCCCTACTTGGTACTGCATCCAGAGATCAAATACTTTGGAAAGATGCTAAATACGTATTTGTGAGATAAGACACACAAGGGCTGATCTATTGACAAGATTAAGGTTCTCCAGCACACTGCTGTCTTGCACGTGTCTGCCCATGTATTTCCTCAAAGAGAGCCTCAGCACTCCACCATGCTACTTCCAATCTGTTAAGTGTTGGTTCCCTCCCCCTCCCTTCTCTTTACTAGGAGACTTTAGGGAGGGTGGTTCCCCTCCCTTGCCCCAAGCCATATCTCCTGGGCTCGATGCCCCCGATGCTCCACTGTGGGTTGACTTGGGCCAACCGGTAGGAGAGACCACTAGGACCCAAGAGTGAGAGTTAACGATGTGCCACCCCCAAATGTGCTGAACTGGTGTAGTGATTATTTCACGCTGAAATCACCTGAAGATCTGTAACTTTAAAAAGCACCATTTGGCCAGTCTGGCCTCCATTCAGCAAGCCACAGAGATTCCCTTGGGAGGGACGCCCTTTGCATGTTAAGGCTGAGAAGGAGCCTTGGGCACCAAAACCTCACCCCTGGGGCTGTGGTAAACCTGAGTAAACAAGGCCTGAAGGAATGCTTGTCCTCCCCAAGCTCCTACCCTGTCTGCAGCATCTCCTCCCAGGGCCCAGAACACCCTACCCTAGGTCAGCCACCATCTGTCCTGCTTCCTTATCCCTTCACACACTTATTGTTCTTCATCTAAAAAGCACAAAAACATCAGGCTTTGGTCATTTCTTCAGACTTCTCTCTCTTGGGAATATCCCAAAACTTTCACGCTTTTCTCCCTGGTGAATAGGCACTTGCACTCATCCAGCCCAGAGCTCACTGGAGCACTTAGACGGGGTGGGATGAGGGCTCCTCTCTCCCAGCACGGGCTCAAGGAGGGGTTCCAGTGTGTTCCCCAGGCCTCCTCCAGGGCAGCGCTGGTCAGGCGCCTCCCTGCTCTTCCCCAGCTCACAGCTGGCCTGGCTGACTGCATTTCCTCCTCTCACCGTTGCCAGTCCCTGGGTGTCTCGCCACCACGTTGGTTTTCTTGTTTATCCCCCTCAGTAACTCCCTGCCTTACATTCGCTACAACTAACAGTTGAATGAGCGGCCAGCTGGCCCTGGTGGTCCTGGGTGATGCATCTAAAAATTAAGCAAATCCTTGGGAAAATTTGCCTCATATTTCAACAATCCAGTCAGAGGAAATTATTTTGGTGCATTGCATATTCTTTTTTTTTAAAGTATATATTCCTTTTCTAGATATTTTCCCAAAAGAGTCAAAGTCATTATATCACAGTGATACTGCATATCCATGTCTACGGGAGTACAATTCACAATAGCAAAATCTTGGAAACAGCGCATATACCCATCAATACATGAATGGATAAAGTAGATGTGGTGTTCATATACAAGGGAGTACCACTCTGCCATACAGAAGGATAAACTTGAGACGTGTTTAGGTAAAGGGATGCATCTTGAGACCATAATCTTAAGTGAGATAAATCAGACACACAACTTTAAATATTACATTATTTTTCTTGTGTTAGAAACCCAAAGTGTAAATAAGGATAAAGGTAAAGTGGAGGATAGATATTAGGAAGTAGGATGAAGTTGTTCAAGTGGAAAGGGAAACAGAGAGGGGAGGAAAAGAAGGGAAAAGGGATTTTAAAAAAAGAGAACTGAAAGAAAAATGGAAACGGAGCTTTTGTAAATGAGGGGGGAGGGTTGAAAGGAGAGGAGAGGAATGGGAAAAAAGAATTAAGATCTATTATGTACAGGTACAAATTCCCCAGGACAATGTGATCATTGTCTATGACAAACGTGTACTAATAAAAAATAAAGTATTTTAAAAAGGCATTTATTTGACCAGCTACACTAGACAGAGAAACTGAAAATATAAGGATCAAATGTTACAAGCAGCCTGAATGATTCTTATAAAACCAATGAGTTTTATTGTATTGTGATTGTGTGCGGTACTGTTTAAAATAAATAGAACCTCACATATGGTAATGTAAGCTATTTTTGGAGATAATTACTCGGCAGCTTGGTTATTCAGTCTACTCCATGAAGCCTGACAACATGACACATTTTCAGGCAGGTGTTGGAAAAACAGACGCAATCTTCGGGTCCTCAGTGTCCCAAGTAATTGGACACACACTCTCAGTTTTCAATCTGTGCAGAAACCTCACAGTTTGCCTGCCCTGTACCTGTGCAAGGCTGAGCAGGAAGACTGTAACATATTAAAATACCCCGCGTCATTTTTATGAGTAAATCCTATATTTCGGTTTATAACATTTATACAATTCACTAATATAGATTTGAATACGTAGGTATCTTGAACATGAAAATTAGCTCACATAAGTCACTATCTCGACGAGAAATCAACGAGTACAGAGGAAAATCTTACGCAGCTCTGTGGAAATGGGAATAATGAGAGGAAGAAGGCCAAGGCAGGCGCTGTCACAGGACCGGGGGTCTGGCACTGGACGGAGACCCAGGAAGGTCCACAGGCCACCTGGACCATGAACAGCCATGGGGCAATGGCCTCTTCCTTTTCTTTCTTCTGCTCCTCCACTGCATTTACAGTAAGCTCCAAATGGTACAAAAGCAATCAGGAAAAGCTTCAAAGAGAGACAGAGTTTTAAGTCTAGAGAGGAGCTCTTGTTTGCTTAATTCATAATCTATTATATGTCATTAATTTAAGGAAATAAAGCAATTCTGCATGGCAAAAAAATGAGAACTAAGAGGAGAATAAAAACAGATACAACTATTACAATAGCGCTTCCTGCATTGTGAATGCAAGCCTATTAGAAGCAACTGCTTAAATTTCTTCAGGTAATGCCTAAACTCAATTTGATAAGACTCAAATTTAGTTCACACAAAAGAATACTAAAATAGCACACTTTAAAACAATATTCAACTTCACAGACGGCGAAGGTAACACAAACTGAAACAAATATAAGGTGCCATCTCACACCTAACGAAGTAAGAACACAAATTAAAATAATCAATCTAGTGTTGGCAGGAGTGGCAAGGTGTCATACCAACTCCTGCGAACGAGTGCAGCACACGTGGAAGCCCACCATGCAGAGTCAGTTAGCGTCACAAGACTGCCTGCAGCCCCTGGACGTAGTTATTTCAATTTTCAAATCGGTACCCTTACGCTACAACTCCAAAGGGAAAAAAGTTTTATGAACCAAGTTTTTAAAACTATGCCTTCAAGTGTGTGGAAATGGCCTTTTCCCAATTATAAATGAGTTGGCTGAGGCTACTTTGTTATTATGACAAGATTTTCAAAAGTTAAATTAGAAATACATGACCTCTATACATGCTGCCAGGTCAGTATGCATACGTGGAGAGAGCTAAAAAGTAGAAATGGCATTCCTACATGCAATACAATAAATACTTGTGGAGTCCCTTTGACTCACACCCCTGAGATTTAGGCACTGTTCCCACTTTGATGCTCTAAGAAGGAAAAGTGAGGCGAAGAGAGGTCATCAAGTTCATTGGCAAAGGTGACAGCAGTGGACAAAGGTCAGAAGTCCATGTTGCCCAGTGCTGAAGCCCGCTGTCCTCTCTAAGTGAGCCATACGCGGCTCTTTCTCCAGGTTTTGTGGCAAGCTGAAGAAAGCAACCTAAGTAAGATCTCAAGACTTGCCAAATGGAATTCATTAATAAATATGATGATTTTATTTTTGGAAGAAAATAAAGGGTAGGGCCAATTATTGCAAGATATGTTTCCAGACATTGAAGTAATTATGACTTAGTTCAAAAAAGAAAAAGATTACTGTGTAGGTGGAAAATTTCATTTGAGAGATGGATATTTCAAAATTTGTGCCACATTGTACTCAGGAGGATGTAGGCACACTATGTTCCCATAAATAATTAATGGCTAAGCAGATGATATTAGGGCTTTATTACAGCTAAAGACATAAAAAGAGTTGATCATAATTTCCTCTTTCCACTAAGGAGAATTCAAAGTTAATTTTATGGTGTCAACTCATTACACAGTGTACTCTTACAAGTGCTAATGATTACCGGAAGCCACTGAAACATTCAGCAAACCACATCAGACTTCTTTCCCTGTCAACTCCCCCCTTGCCAAAAAATATTACTAAAATGACCCGAATCTCTTGTAAAAGATTAGTAAAGATGGTGTTTGGGGTACAATAATATAGTTACTTATATTTTTAAGTGACCAGAGCATGACAATATAAAAATATAGTAATTAATCAAGTAATTTATCTTTTTTGCTCATGTAGCTATAAAATACATGAAGACTTGGAGCTCCATTAGGCACATTTAATTATTTAGAGTGTCCTTTACTTCTGTGAAGTCTCATCCACCCTCCTCAAAAGCAAATGTAGGCTGCCCAGAAAGCGTCCTATAGTTTGTATGCAGCCAGTTCCCTCAGACCTGTGCTTCCGTGATCAATTTCCTAAATTCCGTGATCAATCCTAAATTCTCCCATTATTTTAAAAAGTAAAGAGGCGTACTGCCCTCCGGAACCGTGCACCCATTTCTGGGGGCGGCTGCTGTGCTAGCGAGGACTTCCAGCGCGAGAGGGACTCTGCACGCTTCCTGGACATGGGTCAGGTTCTCGGCTGGGGGCGCGGCCTTCCAGACAAACACAGAGAGCCTTTGATTATTGCAACTCGGTTTTGCTAAAACGTATTTTTTTCATCGCTGTTCGGTGGAGGAAAGTGCAGTCTGTCCTCCTTGAGGTAGATACTAACTTGAATTACAAGGAGAAGCTGTTAAATGGGAGTTTGATTAAAAGCCGCAACACCAAAGGGAAAGGAAGAAGAAAATGGCCAGAAGAAGAGGCTGCCTCAAAGGGTCCCGTCCTTTTGCAGATGCCTCTGAGTCTGTCCATTTTCTTCCAGACCCCTTTCTCTTTGGGCTTTTGAAGGGTGGCCAGGAGTGGACAAGGACAGAACTCCTGACTGCGTAGAATGGGGTTTCAGGGAGAGCACTTCCCAGACATCTTCCAAAACACCTCAACTCCGCAGTCATCGGTGAGCTACAGTACTAAGCATCGCTTTCTTCCTTCCTTCCTTTATTTATTTATTTATTGGTATCGAGGATCGAACTCAGGACCTTGCACTTGTGAGGCAGGCGGTGGAACCACTGAGCTACATCTCTGGCCTCCTTTCTTCCCTTCTTTAAAGCCCAACCTGGGACTACATTGTTCTATTACAGCAGCATCAGGAAATGGTAATGACAACAGTAACATCAGCACCGAGGAGGGTGTGCAGCCACTGGACCACTCCTGAACTGCTGCTCAGGATGCACATGGCAGAGCCCCTGGACATCTGGCAGATTCTTACAGAGTTCTTCCCATCTGACCCTGTGGGCCT